ATCTTTCGGAGGATTGTCTGCTACAACCAAGAGCCGGTTTTAACGACCCCTGCAGGGAAGCTGCGCGCGTATATTCAGCGCCTGGGCGAGGTAGGTGCCCACCGCCGATGCCTTGCCGTTCACGAAGTAGATGATCGCGTTTAGGGAAGGGATTACAAGGTATTAAGTCGTTTTCAGGTATATGAAACCGGGGAGCCGAATAGGTAGTGCTGAAGTTGCGCCCACGACACCTTCGGCAGATTTGTTGTTTCCTTGAGGAACAAGTGCACTTTCTTTTCACTCAAGGGAACAGAAAGGGATGTGGATCCCGTAGATGTAAATTTTAGAAGGTACCGCATTTTGGTCCTTGGCAATGAGACTTTATTAAGTATACGCTGCTCCCTGAGGGCCCTTAGAAAAGAGCAAGAACAATAGCCAATCGGCAGTAACATGCTCCCCCCTGAACTTCGGCCATTATTGTTCTTGTTTGCTTTCGCACACCCTGTATAATAATAATAGTAACTTTAATCATCATACGAGTAAGTTGGGAGCTGAAGAAAAAAGCTATACAAGCAACTTGACTGGTCCTCAGCCTCACACAGATACACAGCATTGGTGAAATCATACTCAAGAATTCATGTCATACAATGCACTTAACAACAGAAACAAAGTTAATAACTAGTCGCTTCGCGCTGAAAATATCTAGGTTATTTTGTGTTACCATGTTGTCAACGAGGTCACTATAATCTACAGCGTGCCCCCGAACTCGGGTGAAAATATTTAGTTGACCGCATAAATCGACCTGATAGCGTATCTCGCTACTACTGACCACAGAGGTGCCTGAAGGTAGTGCAAGCATCGCATCAAAATTTGAAAACACAAACTTACCTGAGTAAAATAGAAAAAATTATGCAACTGGTTTTCTTTTGCCTACGGAGCCCCTCTGCTAACCACGTACCCTAGGATTAACACAAGAACCGATGTTGGCCGCGAGCCCGACAGCATAAGGAGCCTTCCCTACAGTGGCTTACGGCAACACAGCTGCCGCCCCGTGGCGCCAAAAGCGGACGACATGTCGCTGAACTTACACGGCGAACCATAGGTTTTATTTGTTTTGTGTCTGTTTAATGTGTTTTATTGGGAACAAAGATATCATGCACTTACCGTTACAGCACTAAAAAGCGCGCGCCATTTGGGATTTTAAAACGTTGCCTGGTTTTGGCGCGACTGATGTGACGGTTGTTGCGCTAGTCAGAGGGTGTGCAGTTAGCAGACGGATGCCATTTTTCTTGTGAATTCAAAGCAAAAAGCTCCTCTACAATTATAAATAACAAAAACCTAACTAACATGGGTATATTTTGTTGTAAACTGTAAGCGCCCAGTTTATGAGCTGTTTCCACGGCATATTGTTCTGAACATAGCCATGCTGCCGCAACGCATGATTAGCACTATTTCTTCGGAAACACATGGCTCTTAAGCAGTGTTGGACAAAATACTGGAGAAAAGTATTTAAGTTAAGTTACTAAATACCTGCTTAATAAGGTATTTAAAATACTACTCAAGTTACTTGCAGTTTAAAGTATCTTGAGTAGAGTACAAATACTTAGAATTGTAATTCAATTACTTTTGAAAATACTTCCGCATTGCGTGATTTGTATCGACGTCAGTCACAAAGACAATTATACAGCTGCGCAAATCTGGCTTACCAGAATGGTTTATTAGCACGCATAAGAAGCAGGATATTGTCACGAACGAGAAATGATAAGGCAGCGAATAACCGAAGAAGCTAAAAGTGTAAGGGGGCGAACTTGTGCACAAAACAATAGAGAAAGGCTAGCGTCGCAGGCGTCGATGTCGGCGAAAGAGCTGGATCGAGAGCTGGGGGGAGACTCCGGACCGCCACTCGGAGCACCTTTTGCACCCCCGTGGGATTCTGGAACATTTGGCGTAGAACGTTCGGCGCGTAGAACACTCGTAACTCAATCAGAGGACAAGGTTCTCGAACTTACGAGAATGTCATGTTGAAAGAGTAAATAAAAGAGTAGTTCGCTCCCTGGTATGGAACCCGGAGCCTCCGCGCGACAAGCGCGGTAACCATTTTGGCCATGCGCTCGCTCGGCAACGCGCGTGGCAATCACTGATACATGTTCTAAATAGGGTTCCGTGATTTCGGATAAATCCGAAAAAAAATTCGAAAAAACACTCGCCGGTATATTATCCGTCAATTGGGATTTATCCGAAAAGCTCAGAATTTTGAGGTCATAGCGACCAAATAAACAGCAAAAAAGACGGAGTTTTACAACTAAACTTTATCAAAGCACAGGGTCAGTGATCCCGAAGAGATTTCACTTCAGTTTCCTTTGAAATCTAAAGCTACTGTCAAGAGGGGCTTGCCTTTAAACACGTCGAGGTTCCTTCGGGACAAGCGGTGATGGTACCCGGACCTTATTTATTTTGTTTTTTAATTATTATTTTAACTCTACGCAGTAAAAAAAAAAAAAATATCAGAATTTTAAAGAATTGGGTATCCGACAAGAATAAACTCCGATAAACCCCGAATCCCCAGCGAAAATTAAACTCCGAAAAACACCCTCCGAATTTCACGAGCAATAAACTCATAAAACACGGAATCCTAGTTATAAAACATTTCCGGGACAACAAGAAAGAAGTTGCTTTAGCTATTGGGGATTCAGACCGTGGCGTCGCAAGCGGTCAACTTTAGAGCTACACGGATCGAGACAACTAATACAATGACTCGGCGCTCGGCTGACATACCCGAACACGGGGTTAGCGTTCGGCTAGAGTTCGTGTTCTTCGGTGATGGGGAGGAGGGTCTCTTTTGTTACCACTCCGGCCTGCATGAACAATGTAGCATGCAAGGTGGCCAGCTCAGCACAAAAGCCCAAGGGGGTCAAGCTCGCATCCTCTGACGACTGCTTTCGGGAGATATCCGGCACTTGACGTCACTTCGCTTATTGTTAGTATTTTTACATTACACTGTTCCCCGCGCTCTATTAAAGATGACATAAACATTCACACAAGGCTTGTGGGCATGTGTACAGGCCTTGTATTGGGTAAACACCGAGGTTAGGGGGCAACAAACGGGTCAGAGCGCCTCGCCAATAGTGACATCGCTGAATATCACGTCCTGCGGCGCACTTTAGAAGCATCGTTTAACTACAAAAGAAAAATAAATGCTTTGACGTTCTGCCGTAGCTGGGACAACTATACAAAAAGCAAAACAAAGAAAATTTTTGTCCACTTCATATTCTCTTTTTTTTTTGTATTTTCTTGGCACTCAAGTCTGCATAGGTTTCGTAGGTCGTCTCCCGGTCTGCGTTGCGCCTCAGTTTGACTATCTTTACTTCCCTAAAACCACCCCTTGCGTTTGAAGATTTTTCGGGGGAAACTCTAAAGAACAAAAGAAGCCTTTGAGGGGGCTAGGAGAAAAACTTCATTGTACGAATTTTGGGATGAAATATGAGTCACAATCGGCACAAAAGTGATTTTTTCGCGAGCGCAATCTAAGGCACCGTAGCTAATCGGAGCTAGCAGCAGGATTTGGTTGCTCGAAAGAATGTCCACGTTTCCCCGTGCCACGCCCACACCACTTCATCCGAAAAACTTGGAAAATGGCGGAATGTCAAAAATGTATCTCAGATAATGAGTACAAGATACTCAGAAATGTAATTAAGATAGAGTATCAAACACTCTCGATGGAAATTATCTGCAAGATACCAAGATACTTCAAAGAGTATTTGAAATACAGTATATTGAGTAAAGCATTTGAGATAGGAACAAGTCTGCTCTTAAGACTCTGTTATACTCCCATATTGAGGGCAGCGGATGGAGCGTACCGCAGAACGTGCGCCTTTCATTGGCCGGCGAGCAGCAACTCGATATCTTCCACAAATCAGCACCTGTGCACGCTTCGCTATGGCGCGTTTGATTCGCTCGACGTCGTTGTGTAACAGAGCCTTTAGTCAGAGTGCGAAATACGATAACAAAAAAATTTACCTGCGAGGTCAATTTTAGAAGCTTTCTCCGCGTCAAGATATGACGCATACAAAAACGTTTCAGTGGGAGCTGCAGTAGGACGATGAATATATATATATATATATATATATATAGGTAAGGACTTTCAGAGCGTCCAAAAATCAACGAATTTCAATTGCGCAGTTCAACCCCCACGCACAGCGAACTAGACAAGGCCCCCTTGTTAGAATCAAAATATAAGACTGTGGAAGCGAATAGATACAATTCACTCAATGCGGCATAATTCTGGTTAACATTCTGCATAATATTTAACGTCGTCTTCAGTATTTGATTTACCGATTAATAGTAGCAAATTGGTGTGTACTCCTCAAAGCATCATTGTAGTGCGTTTTGCAGATGCGTCATAAATTCCATAATAAAGTGTATTGATAACATATGGTCAAAATTCAATTTAGCAGTTTTCTGGCTTTCATTACTTGCACTTGTTTAAATCATGCCAGGATTTATAGTTATTTTCCATTAAATTTTATAGCTTAGAAAATTTATATTTTAAGTGTGGGGAAATATTAATTCCGCTAATTGCGCGTAATAATAACCGTCTACATGATCATTAGACAACACCATAACTCTTCTACAGTAACATAGTCAATCAACTCTACCGCATGTGTTGCTCGGCTTGCGAATTGCGCAGCTGTAGCTTAGTTTGGTCTCTTTTTTTTTTCTTTTTGTTCTCAGAATTCCAATAAGAAGGTTAGTTATGCCTGTTTTGGGACACTATCAGAAAATCAATTATTATTATTATTATTATTATTAGAAAACTATATAGCACTGACGTATAGCAGATAAACCTAGATAGTTTCATTATGTAGTGTTTAGTGACATATTAATTAACGTGCTTAACATTATCATTCAATATCAAAACAGTCCCTCCAAGAAATGCTTCATAATATCTCATAAATAGTACGCTCAAATTGTTTCTATCTTATCAATATCTAACCTTAACTTGGTGTAATTCATTTTTACAGGCACAACAATTTCTGAAGGATTTCTTTGAACTCAAAACCATTCTTGACAGCAGGACCAAATATATTGTAAGAAACTGCATTGTTACCATGGCGTTAATCAAGCACACGTTATAAAAACACTCTCCTGAGATCTCTTGGCAGCAAGAGAAGTTAAATTCTTAGCTGAAGGACATCATAATGGCGGCTCATTGTAGGAATTAGCACCCTTCTTAAATACAGAGCTCTTGAGGTATGCCATTTATTATCAAATTAAATATAATATTAAACATTATGTAAGCGTATTTATGGTTTTCCAGCGAGCCCTCTAAAAGTCAAACTAAATCCAACAACAGCATTTCCAACATCATAAGCTAGATAATAGTTGATTTAACCCTCACTTAGTCACAATATACCTCACTTGTCTTGAACAAATTAAAGAACCGGTTCCCCGATGTATTTAATAAAAGTATCAACTCTTCGTTACGTTTGTTCTGAAGCTAGGAATTGCATAGTTTACGCCTCAAGGGTCACAGCACGTGAATAAAACAGTTCGTTTGCTTTAAACCTTCGTATTCCGTATTCCAGTAAATTTAAGTCTATTAACAACACTTTTCAAGGAAGAGGCTGTTTTTATCTGCACAATATACAATTTCATAAGAAATACATTTTTATTAAAAAACTGTGTTTCAATTGTTTGTATCTAGAAAAATGACAGTCAACTGGAAACTTTGATGAAAGATAATAACCGTTATCCCTATATATACCTGGACGGAACAATTTATAACCTAAACTCTCATTTCAATGAGAAGAATATTCATCCTGACATCATTTGCCTCGTAACAGGGTAAGAATAAACTAGCATAGAGATTCCACACCGACCGCTATCCCGAAGCTAACATTCCTGATTTTCTAGCTATGAAATCTACAATGGAGATCAAGTAAGGAAAGGTTACGGTGAGTGCATATGTCTTCAGTTATTACAAGAGCCATTATTTCGAACTTAATGTTTAAATATTTCTTGTTTTCGCTTGTTGAATATGTTTCACGTCCACCGCGAAAAGTTTAGCCCGCGATTTTTAGGTATCGTCAAGACTCCCAATGTAATAATCAAATATTGCGAGTGCTTCGGCGATCTTAATGCGTGCGGTTTTTAATCGCACGCACGCAAGCTACGAGTCTCGGCGACGTGGAGGCAGGACGGCTGGTGCAAGCTTGCGCTCTGATAGGAAACTAAGACTTGCGGAAACCTAGAAACGTGTCCCAAGCTATTTTTTTTTACGTTGTAAAATGTTGTATATGACTTATATCCCTCTAAAACGTATGTATTCTGTGGTTATCGAAGCTTGTGATGAAGATTATAATTGGAACCATGTTTATTTTTTAAATAAAAATTAATTAGTGAATTTAAGGTAATTTTTCACATATTTCGTAAATTCCTGTAATTTCTGACGTCCGCCATGAAAAAAAAACTGCTTCTCAACAATACTTTTTTTTTCTCCGCAACCCTATTTTTAATGGTTTTTTAAAGTCTTCGTTGAAACAAGAGGTGTAACTAAAGGCTTGTGTTCCATAAATAGCAGATATTAACTAAATTTTCCGGAACTGCAATTAAAGCATTTGTGATCAGATTCCGACTACTTTTATTTGTTTATTTATTTATTTATTTACTTTTACTCATTTAAGAAACAAAGATATAAGAAAATATTTCTTTAAAGGGCTTACACTACACACGCATTTTACAAAAGAAACAAAAAAATATCATGAAAAAATACATTTTTTTGCGTAGTATTCCTGACGCTAGGAGGAATTTAGGTGACGTTAGCCACCCGCTTTGGACCCCGCCCACAAAACAAGTGTGTGTGTGTGGGGGGGGGGGGGGGTTATGAACCCGACAAGTCCCGAGCGCTGACATCGGTTTCAAGAAAGAACGAGAAACAAAGGAACCAGAAAGCACTGAAATAAAGACGACTGGTTTGGCGAATCTCGTTTTCCTGTGACGAGTATAAGTTGCTCGAGTGATTGTCAAATTTATTTATTTTAATACCATGCGCGACGCGGTGTTTTTGTGCAAAGTAAGCTAGGATTCAGCTGGATACAGACAATACAGGTGATGTTATGGTGCCTCTTTTTGGATATTAAGGCGTTGCCAGCAATACGAGCCCAATGGGACCCCCATTGGGACCACCAATGTCCACCTCTACGCCCCGCCTGTCCGAAGCGGCCAGAATGCATGGCGGTTCTCCCTCTAAATTATTATATTAACTAGGGCTGGGGATTTTATCGATTAACCTACCGATTAATTAATTAATTATTTAATAGCGATTAATTGTTTTAAAGGGTTAAATTTTCACAAATAACAAAAAAGCTATAAATTTAACGCTTTTATCACGTAGACCTGGACGAGTACATCTGTATGAAGGCTAACGTTTGGTGAGATTTTGACTTAAAGTAAACTGTAGGGGCGAAATTTGTGACTCGGAACAAGTGGAGAAGGTTATACGTGTCCGGGCCACTTCAACGGCGTGCGAGTTTCCGTTTAGGACAGCAGTCTCTTGTGAACTATCAAGGGAGTGCGCATTGCCTGAGAATATCAACGAACCTCTTTACCTCTTTGGCTAAAGTAATAATTTGTGAGTGTATGTGTAGTTTCAATGTCCTCAACTACATATCAAGGTTTATTTAAAATCCGAAATTGTACATTGTGCCGTTTATCACCTATTCATCAAAGGCAAAATAAAATTAGATTTGACTCTTTAAAAAGTATTCTGCGTGGGAATAAGCTAAACGGATTAATCGATTAATTAGTCAATTAAAATTTGACGATTAATTGGATTAAAATGTTCGATCCACGCATAGCCCTAATATTAACTCTATGCCACAAAACGGTGGCCCCACCCACTACTGCTGGATTGGCTGGGCTGCTAGGCTGAACACGTTTGCAAACCTAATGTCTTCCTGTCGCGACGTCCGGCGAGTCTAGTCTGGAGTCTGACACCGTCTGCTAGTCGTGCGGGCAGACGAGTCGCAGCTTACGACATCGTCGGCTATTAGAACACAATCTATTGCCACCTGAAACGTTTATAAGACCCGGCCATGGAAGCGACACATCGGCGTCCGCCATTGCTTGCGTTAGCCTACTATTCCGTCTAAAACCGTCTGCAACGCTTGCAAGACGCGACCATGAAAGCGGCGTTCTAGCGTTCCATCATGCACGATCAACGGTCCAATTTAATCGTCTGTCAGCGTCTTCTGGTGTGCGGTATAAGGCTATCAAACAGTACAAAAAAGTCAAGAAAATGAATACGTAGACCTTTTAGTTTTTCTGTTCTTGCTGCTCTCCTGCATAGCATCCGCTGTCAAGGTGGGTGAGCGTGATGCCGCACAATTGTAACACGACCTAAAGATGTTCGCTTTCGAAAGCCAGGTGCACTGCTCAAAATTTGACAGCTGGCCTTCAGGAGGAAAATGACTGAAACATACCTGGACGTGTTAGGGAAGCTGACTGGGCGAGTTGGTGGTTGCTGTTAATTAACGTTAAATGCAAAAACAAAAACAAACAAAAAAAACTTATGGTTGCAGGCACACTACAATATGGGGCGTCTGAAGCCACCAGGCTCGATCTAAAATAGGCCGTAAAAATCGGCGCCTGCCCGTAGAAATCTAAACTTTTTGTCAATGGTGTATTTCATAGGTCGTTTTTTTCATACGAATTGCAAAGCGTAGCTTCCATTCTGTAAAAACTGGGGCCAAAAAACTAGCCAGCACCCACGGCGGGCGGCGACGCAGATAGCCAAGTCGAGTGGCGGGACGCGTTTGGCACACGTATTGATAGATGGCGCCACGTCCTTATCGAGACTGCTCGCGACGACCGTGGTCTACTAAAATGAACATAATCTTTTTGTAATGTACCAAACCGGAGTAAAAAAATGCGGCTGCATAACGACGGCGCTTTTGCTGCCGACGGATTTTGTCTCCATGTTGTCTACTTTCAATAGCTGGCCGGCTACACTTTCCGACCCTGTTACCGACGCCATCTATCAGTACGTGAGCCAAACGCGCCCCGCCACTCGACTTGTTTGCTTGCGTCGCCGCCCGCCGTTGACCCTGGCAAATTTCTCGACCCTAGTTTTTACAGAAAGGGAGATAGGCTTTGTAATTTTACTTGAAAAAACAACGACCTGTGAAATACACCTTCGACGAAAAGTTTAGATTTCTACGCGCAGGCGCCGATTTGTACGGCCCATTTTAGATCGAGCCTGGTGACTTAAGACACCCTGTATAGCACAGTCGCCCAACGCCTTAGTTTGTATTGGCTATCTTCTTCTACTACTTACAATGAACAACTCATCTTCAGACGCACTAAGAACGAGATTCCAATCGAAAAAAAAAATTCCTTACAAAAATCACAAAAATGAAAAATAAGAGCACAAATTAGGGTTAAAAAATGAAAAAGTGAAATTGAAAAATTAAAATTAATATTGTTAAAAGATTCTTACCGTTGCTGCATGAGAAACCCTTTGGCCGAATATTCAAGTTCAATTTTTGGAAGAGTTATAGATGGGCTGCTGACACCTGTCAGCGTTCTTTTTGTTTTGTATTTATTTGTCGGGGAATTTTATAAATATTGTAAAAAATTTCAGTTTTTAATTTGTAATTTTGCTTGTAGTGCACAGAAAAGGAGTTGTTCAGTGTAAATACAGCGAAGAGATAACCAGTACAAACCGAGAGTTGTGAGTTCAGCGCTGAGCAACTATTATTTTTAGCGTGTCCGTGTCCATGAGTGATTTTCTTTTTCTTCTGTGCGCTTTAACGTTAAATAACAAATACCTGGAAAAACTTGATGCGAGGCGAACAGCCAATTGCTTCCAACCAAATGACTCTCAATTAGGGCTGGGCGTCGATTAAAAGTTTTAACCCGATTAATCGCAACCCTTTAATCGATTAATTAATCGATTAATCGGTCATGTTAATTTTTATGCATAATATTTTTAAAAAAGTCAAAATTAATATGTGTTTTCTGTTTTTGCATGTTCTTAATATGAGATAAAAGACGAAATATGCAATTTTTATTATGAATCAACCTTGATGTGTGGTTAAGAACAGTTCAAAGGTACTTACACTCACATATTATTACTTCAGCTGCATGAGGTAAAGAGGTTCGTTGATATTATCCGGCAAGAGCAGCCTCCTTTAATTGTTTAAACTTTAGTCTCTGTTGCGCTAAACTACACGTTTAACCTTCTGCACTTCTCAGGATCTACAAATCTTGCCCCTAGAGTTTACTTTACACTATATTTTGACATAGAGTTTACCCCTCATACAGGTGTTCTCGTCCACGTCTGCGTGGTGAAACCGTTTACTCTTTATTTTATTTTGGTTCGTTAAAACACTAATTACCGGTTAACCGGTAAAAAATTAATCGCGATTAAAGCCTTAATCGATTAATAGGTAGGTTAATCGATCAATTGCCCAGCCCTACTCTCAATTCTTACCTGTTCGGGTTACCTATCCGTACTAAAATCATGGTCGCCATCACCACGGCTGCGAAATTCTCAAAGTAACTGACCGCTTTTACGGGAACCGACACGTTTATTCAACATAGAAACGCGCAAACGAACAAATCAAGCAAAACAGTTGACATGTGATCCTAGGCTTACGCCAATTCGGCTACGAAAACCAGCACCCGTAGAGCGCTTCCGAAGTCCTATACTTGACAGTTTGCTGCAAATTACGTGATTTGAGATCTTCCTCTGAACATCTCGATGAACGGAAAGCAACTCACTCATAAAAGTAGACTAACTGAGCCAGTTACTCAATGTTAGCGGTTTATAAACCCCCTGCCGCAAACGCCGGTAGCCATGTTTCTTATCGTCCGAAACCGAAGGAAAAAAATTGCGGTGGCTTAGCTCGGCTATGCCAGGATATACGTAGCGTGAGCTTAGGCGCACAAAATGAGAGGCGCTATCAAGCGACTCCGGTGCAGCGTCAGACTTGCCTACTGCGCAACGGAGGCGCACAGCTGGGCACGCGGCGGCGCCAGCGCGTCTGCGCGGCTATGACGTCACTCCTCTGGAATGCGCAGACCGGCGAGGCGCGCGCGGCGGCGGCGGCTCCGGCGCGCTTGCTTTGCGCCGTGTGACCTCACCGCTCCTCGCGCATGCGCAGCACAAAGCACGGCTCATTATGCGAGCCACGCTACTGCTTAACCACCGCCGGTGTAGCTTACGCTACAAAAGGCGATCTCGTGATATTTTCTTTCTAACCAATATTGACTTCACGCACATTGTTTGTTTCTGAAACGTACAAAAATATGTCTAGTAAAGGACTACCCCGTCAGGAAGAAACAATTTTACAACAAACATCCATTCGCGCGAGGATTTGACCGAGAGCGTGATCGCGTGGCGAAGGATTGACGTATGGCAGGTCCAAAGCGCTTGTACCTTCCCCCGCAGTCTCAGCTTAGGAGTGAACGAAGGATAGAGCGGAGCAACTTCGACCTGAATATCGCCTAGTAACATAACTATTACGGTAATTTATTTAAATATTTCTTTCCGCAAAAAATGTTTCATAAACTACTTGTCCCATCTAAGCCCTTTAAATTTGTTTCTATTCATTACAGTGTCAGTTTAAGGAACCTTTGCAAAATGACGTTATATATGGGGAAAGAGTAGATTGTTGAAAGAAGCAACGGGAAATAACATAACGCGTATATTTCAGGATATTCCTCGCAGAAGACGTTGTGCGACGGTGTCGTAACCATGATCTTAGCATACGATGCACACCATCATTACGACATCAGCAATATGCTGGCCGAAATGATCAGGGACAGGTGCGTATGAACCATAGTAGACTACGCATGTTCCTCGTTTTTGGCTTTTTCATTTAAATTAGATAGTCTACACACGTTTGTGGACAAAATTGCATACTTACAAAGTTTTACGAAAATTTTAGACGATGTACTTTGTACTCGTAGTGACTTGGCCGAGAGCGCAGCGAAGAGAAAGACGCGCGGCACGCATTACGGTTAGCTAATTAAGAGTTCAGATGCAGAGAAAGGATTCCTAAATTTCGTATCAGTAAACTGTAAATGAGGTAGTAAATATAAAATTAAAAATCAACCAGTAGTTAAAAATCAGTCCCCGAAAGCGTAAGACACGTTAACAAATATAAAGTTTGCGCACCATAAAAAAAAAATAATAATAAACGTGTGATTTTGCGCATGTGCACCTTGTAATGGAGCGCCCTCAGTCGTGGCTTGAATAAACTTGACCCTGACGCTGAATGGAAAACAGTTGACAAGGCGCGTTTAAAGTATACGCGCTTCTGTCTCATTTTTTTTTCTTCTCATAATTTGCTAGCTCTTTTGGAAGCCCTGGAAAACGAACAGTCTTAGAGGTTTCTTGATATAACCACTGAATTGGATGTTTCTGAAGACGCTCTACAACTTTGTCATTGAAACTTTAGTTTATTAATTATATTAATTCTTATTTTACTAGGTAAAACACAAAAAAATAGCCTCACTTATATTCGTTTCGTTTTGTCTTCCTAAAATACACCAAGATATTTTTAAACCTTGTCTCAATTTACGTGGAATAATACCCTGTATGTAGAGAGAGAGAGAGAGCAATATTAGTAAAGTTAAAACAATGTCAGCGACGACATGACACGGCCCTCTAAAGTCTTATCAACAAGAACTTATCAGTCGTCATTTGCTTATTTAAAAAAATTGTTCTGAGAAACTAGAATTATTCATTTTTGTGTTATGAACACAAAACTGACTTTTAAGATGTCAGCAGAAACATTAAAATTCATAACTAATTGAGAAGCTTAATTATATCGAAGAAAGAGTAAGTGAACAGGCAAGCTGGTTGATGTTATACATATTTGAATAAAGCGGAAACTACGGCCGATAAGGGTAACAATGTGGAGCGGGTCGCAAGGAAGTGCTTGGAGAGAATCGGAGAAATGGTGCGGAAAAAAAGGAAGAAACCAGACAAGGTCGTGAGCATTCCATTTTCCCCTAATTTTTCACACAAACTGCTGGTGATAGCCGGGAGATTCCGGGTGAGGGTGATTATCTCTTTCGACTCTAAATTAAACAGGCTTACATTGTTAGTGGGTGGAGCACAGGATTGTCAAAAACGGCATAGGGAAGCCACCGTTGATTGCCAGGTTACAGTAGTGTATATCCCAATGACCTGTGAGTTTTCGTGGGACAGATCTCCGAATTCTGAGATCCCTAAACTGTGCAGGAATGCAATAATTGCTTGCCTGATTAGAAAAGAACTGTGGTGGTAAGCAAAGAAAAAGATTATGCAAAAAGGATCCTCAAGGATACAATCAGAATTGTGTCTGTAGGGAATTGTCAGCCAACCGTCAATACCACTAGATGGAGTGACCCAAATGTTTTATGTTGTTGTAATAGTTATTTTTTAGCTTTTGGTAATGGGTTGCTGTTTGTCATATCAGGCGGCAGTGTGGGACCTGGGAACGAATAGATGAGGGAGCGCTTTGGCAAGGTTGTTTTGTTTTGAGGTGTTGCCTGCACCATTGTTTTGTGCGAGAGGAGGTCTTTACCGCGATTGAAGGTCACAAAGACGTGTGCCAATTCCAGGAGACGGACGTGTGACAAATGATATATAAGCGGTTGTGTCAATAAAGTTTAGTTGCTGCGTTTCAGACGTTTTGTGTTTGTCCCCTTTTTCGTCCGTCTTCTCCGGTTTTTCAAATACGTGTATATTATACTTATTTTGTTTTATAAGAAATACCACTTGCATCTAAAATGCATTGATCTTCGGGCCTAACTTTTAGTATGAACAAACTCCGTCTTTTCTTCGCCATTAACTAATAATGTGAAATAAAAATAAAGTAGGCCAGATAACGCCACTACGTCCTGTCAGCAGTTGACAGGATATACGTGGTTGTGGCTTAAAGACCTCTGCGAACAGTTTATGCTTAACCGCTGTTCATCTTTCAGTGTAAACCCGGTTAAAGTACCCTATGTGCACCAAAAACCGGACAATTTGACACAATCGATGGAGGACTACTTAAGGTGCGTACATAATGCTGAAATCATCGCATATTTACTAAAACAAACATTCTCTTGAAGGGCATATCATCCCTTGAATGTTTATTCTAATTAATCGCTGTTTTTTTACTTAATTAATTGATTGACCGGTTCCATTGACCACCGAGCACAATAAGTAAACTGTGTCAAAACAACAAATGTTTATTTTTATTATATCTTAATATGCCATCCATGGTAGAATATGCATTCTCATTTAAGAACTGACTCCCTAAAAAACTAGGCAGCTATTTCGATTACAAAATATTTTTTAGAATGAATATAAGTCTGGTAATACTTCTGGATTACTATCATAAGGTATCATAAAGTGTTTTGCCCCGGAATATAACAATGATGCCTCCTTAAATGCATAAATATGCATTAAGTAGTAAAACAATTATTTTTAATTTCCTTCAGAAATGTTGAACATAAGCCTCATCCAATTTACTGGCTAAACGTTAGCCGGTAAATCAGTAATCGGTAAATTTACCGATTAAAAAATTATTCGATGAATGGTAATGGTTAATCGATTACCGCCATTTCCGGACTATAGTCCCCATCCGGTGTGTAGTCCGCAGCGGCAAACTTGGGGTCAAAAATGAAAGATTTTGCTTAGATAATCCGCACCCAGCGCATAGTCCGCACTTACCAACTTAGTGCTTAATCCGAACGTAAAACTTATCATACACATCACGCCTTGACAAATGTCTACTTTATCAGCTCACAAAAAAAGAAGCTTGTATCGTATATAAATCACCATTAATATACTCTTTCATTCATAAAATTGTTCCCGTCTTGTCACAGTGAACAATATAGAGAAAAAAACAAAAAAAAAAAACAAAAAAAAACTCTAGAGCCCGCGCCTGTAGACGGTCTGAACCGGGCAAAATTTCAACTTTTAAATTTGTGTAGTACACGGACTATAGTCCTGAAAATACGGTAATTGTCCCGGCGTAGTTATCTCGCTTGTGCGGGGAATCAAATATGTATATAATAGCAATGTTCCATAATGAAAAATGTTAAGGTGATTTCCCACTACTGTGTAATTAAGTGTAAGCACCGGTAAAGAATTGTTGTGTTCTATACTAACTTACCGGCAACTAGGGTTGAAAAGTAACACCGATGAGATAGGTAAACTAGCTTCCTATGAAACATCACTGAGAAGGTTAATAACATCGCCCCTGGCGTCTAAGATTGGCAAGGTTAAAGCATACAGAATAAAGTTCGAACCCTCTCGTGGAGTCACCAACCGTTCTCTCCGTCTTGCATCTCTTGCATTTAAGAACTAAAGCCTGGCATGCTTACGTAAAAAAACTGCATTCAGGTCAAAACTACGAATCAGAAATGGAGGGCTTGAAGCTCTTGAAGCGTGAATTCCTTCATCAAACAATATCATTACTCATCAATTATGCGCTTTTCATAAACTTTTTATACATTAAAAAATAAGTACAGAAACGAATCAAAGAGATAAAAGATATAGGGAAGTGAAGCCCTCAGCAATACCAAATGTAAACTAACGCGAACCCACTTTCGATGTTCAGCGAAATTCGGAAACTCAACGTATTGCGCTGCTATGTATTTACTACGGAGGTAAGGCTAGGTGGTGTAAGCCTGAAGTAAAAATGTCGAAGAATAAACTTACCTCTTTCCTAAAAAAAAAAATGAACTATTTCGAGCAATCTACGGTGGCTTTCGCAGACGATGTCATCAACGTGCTCACTTCGTTCGTCAGTCCGCCGACAGATGATTTTTTATTTATTTATTTATGCAGATACCTACAGTGCCATGGGGCAATACAGTAGGGGGAAAGTTGACAATGAAAAATATGAGTAGTTATACAAAAGCTAACAAAATAATAACATTTCATATATATTTCAGTCCCACAACAAAGCTCAGGTTCCTTAAAAATGCGGTTTACGAAACACTACGACGTTAGTGGTAAATAAAACATATCGTTAGGAACAATGTTAACCCCCAAGGCTGAAAAAACGTTTTACAGCGGAATACCTTAACCTTATACATGTGATCCTTTCGTTGCGATATATATCACGTGGCGGGTGAAGGTACTTTTCGCTGTTAATCCCAGTCGTACAATGAAATATGCCATTAAACAATGTGAGTAGAAAGCTAATCGTCCTGGCGCGTAAATCCCTCCATCCCAGTCTGTTTCGCACGTGACAGACTAAGTCGGCTGTCATAATTGTTTAAAACAAAACGAGCAGCCCGCTTAGTACATTTTATTGATTAGTCTTTTTTTTAATAGAAGTGCAAGGCTCCCATATGGTGCAAGCATATCTTAAAATTCGAGAGAAGATGCGAGAAATAAAGTTTTTCCTTTAGGGAAGCTGGCAGAAACTTCAAATTACGAGAGAGGAAGTCAGGCATTCTTGAGGCTTTAAAAACAATATAATCAACGGGCTTATTCCAACTTAAGATCGTGGTTAAGAATACCACAATATATTTGTATTCGTAGGTGGTGAAGACGGGGTTCGTCATTTTATATAAGCACCGAGGTATGAGACAAGACGTTTAGTAAAAGTAATCTGACCAGTTTTTTTAAGAATAATACTCATTGCCCACTGTTTGGACCGATCTGTAATAGCATTTACATCTGCCTGTAAAACGACAATGTCATCACTCTCTTGTATTTTTGATAGACAACACAATCGTCCGCAAAAAGGCGCACTGAAGATGACACAACATTGACGATATCGTTCCAATACGACATTAATAACAGCGGCCCAAGAACAGATCCTTGCGGGAACTCCTGATGTCCCAACAGCGCATTCGGACTTTCAACTTTTTAGCACAGCGTATTGTTTACGGAGAAACAAATATTCGCGTATTCAATATACCACCTTTTTATCAATTTGGTAACCGCAAAGTTTTGCTATTAACAAATCGTGGGATTGTTAATAGCAACATGCATTCAACACTATCACAGCCATGAGCAGCATCAGCCGGTTCATGTACAAACTCTGTTAACTGTGTCACACGCGAGTAACTTTGGCTAAAGCCATGCTGGCACGGATGCAGCATTCCCGAAGAATTTACGCGATGGATTATACCAGTGTATAAAATGTGCTCAGTTAGCTTACAAGCGATACTAGTCACTGAAGTTTGACGGTAATTTGTGACTACATTCCTTGAATCTCATATGTGTATTGGAACCATTCGACCAAGCTTCCAATCTAGCGGTAATGATGCAGCACTTAAAGATTTCTCATAAAGAACATAAAAATACAGACATAATATACCAGAGCATGACAATACAGAGAGGAATGCTATAGGGGCCTGTTGTTATGCCTGCATCCAGTTCATTTAAAAGCTTCCTTATTCCCTTTACTTCGAGCGTAATCGACGGCACCTCATTAGTCACAAAGGCCGCATCAAAAATTAACATCTCGCTGTGCAGAGGGGCTAAACACAGAATAAAAAATTAATTCAATAGCTGAGCCTTATCAGTACCCCTTTGCACAACACTGTCATCCTGTTTAAGCGGCGGAACACATCATCCTGTTTAAGCGACGGATCACATTTGCCAGTATTCCGCACATATCTCCAAAATTCCTTTGGGCTATTTCGCACCCTCTCGTCAAATGCTTCAAAATATAGTTGTTTGGCTGTTTGAATACTGGTTTTCACGTAAACACTTAGTTCGCATAGCTTGGCAGGATCGGCTGCAAGTTGACTGCTACGGTACTTTAGAAGCACCTTTCGCTTTTTTTTAATAAGGCTACGGAGCCGACAAGGTACACAAGGTTTGTTACGTGCACGCTTGGGAGTAAGCGTAGAAGAGAAAAAGCTATTATTTCGCTTATTTATTCCTGAAAACACGCCACAGATTCTCGATATTCAGTTTTTCAGCCAATGTTTCCGAGGTTGATATATACGAGTAGAGTGCACATCGTACACCGCTGTACTCTGCTTTGTTGCATAAAAACACCTTCCGTGATTTTGACCGACAAACATTTTTTTATTTGCTAGGTTAACATCTGCCATGACTGCTTCATATTCGCCGATGTCAGGAATGACGTGCCTATTTGAGATAATGTCTGGCGTGTTGGATAAAAGCACGGCCATTTGAAGGGCCTTTAAACCCAGGGCTTTAAAGGATGTGCGGGCCAGCAGATGCAGTGTTGCACCCGCAGTGTTAGGGTCATGAGCTAATTTGCCGACCGCCCAAAGGCCTTTTATACAAATGACATTTGAAATTCCCTCAAAGCGGAGCTCTCCTAGCTCGTGAACATGCAAGGTACAGAATTTTAGCGTCTGAAACACTTACGCCGCCTTTTCGCCAACCCCTCACACGGTCGCCTCGTGTCGTTTGGATGGACGGAGAGGTTCATCGGCGGAATTGCCTCCGTCGATTGCTTTTGATACTTTCAACCTAATTATAAATGTAAAAGTAACGAACACGCTTAGAAAACGTAAGGAAGCACGTCGGGAACAGCCATACGCAGCGTCTTGTACACCGGGTAAACGAGGTCCCGCTCCTAGAAGGGATTGCGGCACACAACTGCCGACCTTAACGGTGCCTTTCCCATTCTTAGCTTGATTGTCCATGCTTTCTTAAACCTCGACGTCTTTGGGTGGTGAACGCTGACACCGGCTTGTTTCCGGGATTCGCATTGCGGCACTGAACAATAGGTCAGCATGATCGCAAACCAGGACACGGGGCAGAGAAGGGAGCCGGATACGATATCGCCAAGCGGAATCCTCTCCCTGACGTCACGGTACACATGACCCAATAAGGGAGCGGCAACCGCAGAGTGGGCGGACATGAGTCATATGAGTGGGCGGTCTCGATGGACCCATATCGCTGGCGGCGCGCAGCAAAACATTGCCTGTAACACTTTTCTAACTTACCTAGCAATAAAACGCCGGCATCACGCATTGTATAAAAAACAATTAAGTTGATAAGCACTCGAGCAACTTAAACCATGCTTCAACTCGTCGCGGCAAAACGAACACGCCTAACCTTTCCG